AATTCCTTATTCACATTTGAAAGTTATCTTTCATAAAATTCATGGATAATCGATGCCCACTGAGGGATGAAATGAAGTTCCAGAACGGAGCGGCTCAGATCTGAACGCTGAGAGGACGAGAGGAACGAAGGAGGGAAAGCCGTCCACTGCTGACGGACGCAGAGACACTGACATTTCCCTGTCGTCAGAGACCTCACGACTGAGTAGGTCAGCCTGATATTTCTGTTGTCGATCCACTTTTCTCAGTGACATTTGGTGTGTGCTGTGTGCTTTGTGTGGCGTGTGTGTGTGTGTGTGTGTGCTCTGTGTGTGTGTGTGTGTGTGTGTGTGTGGTGCGAGATTGTTTATTCTTTGTCTATTCGAGCAGTTTGCATTGGGCCCGTTCCCTGGACACACCACACGAAAACATGGTAGGCCTGTATGCAGTGACCAACAGAACCGAATGTGGCCTGAGAGGAGTGGAGCTAGCAGTGAGTAGGAGCTGAGCAGCGTCTACCTGAAACAGTGGGCAATGAAAACGTATATAATTGGCCACATATGAATTGGCCACCATATAAAGGTGACTAAATGGGTTTTGCTTGGATGAACAAGTCAAAGCATTTAATTAGTACAAATGTTTACATGATGTGAAGATTCAAGACTTCAAGATGATCTTTATATAAATCATTTAAAGTTATGATCCTTTAAAGAACTGTTCACTAACGTTCACACAGCAGGTAAAAGTGGCCCAAATCCGATCATTTTCCTCATATGTGACACAGATGTGTGTCTGTGTGTCAGTGTGAACATTTTCAATTCTGATTTGAGACGCTTTCATATGTGGTACTGAAATCCAATACGTATCTGATCTGCGGCAGTGCGACTCAGTTTGAACAGCCAGATCACAATTCATGCGACTTTTACGTCAATCCAACTCGACATTCGTCATAATTTTGCGCTGCTGAGACATTTAGGCTGATGTTTCTGTACAAAAAATAGAAGAGACTCATCAAACGGCTCAGTGTTCGAAGAGATTTCTAAAGAAATGTCCGAACGCGGCCGCAGGAGAACGAGGCTGCAACGTCAAAGAACAGTTAAAAGACTGAAAGCAAAGTTTAAAGAATCCGAGGACGCGAACCAAAGAAGTGACCGCGCCCTTTTTACGGCTCGAACACATTCTGGGTGATGAGCCCAGCTGTCAGTCAGTGAAGCTTCATGATGGCTCCTGTGATGCTGGTGAAGATGAAGTTGATCCTCCGGGAGAGACTGGCGTTCGTTGGCGGTCGTGATTGTTTACCTCTGGATGAGCCGTGAAGCAGCGTGACGCTCTGATCTTTTGCTCATGTGGGTCAGTTTAGGAGCTGATCTGTTCAGACTGATGTCGCATACAGATCACATTTAAAAGACGTTGTGAACAGACAAACAGAAAAATCTGATTTGGTGAGAAAATCAGATTTGGGCCACTTTTACCTGCTGTGTGAACGTAGACTAAGAGGTTCTTTAGAGAACCAAAAGTGGTACTTCTATGGCAGGGATGCACAAACTGTCCATCTTGGAGGGCCAAAATTTAATATACGTGGTGAGCTAAAGGCTCTGCTGAAAGCTAAAAGCGTGGGGACTTTCTTTTAGCACTAAAACTCTGACCCGATGACATGAGTCACATTGACTGACCACACTCGAAACTAATTTTTAGTAACTTTTAAGGACGAAATATTGGATCAGTATCAACCGTTAATGAGAGATTTCAATAACAATATCGATATTAGAAAAGAGAAGGAGATACTGTGCCATCTCAAGCTAAGAATGAGTGCGTTTACATGCTCTCAATAATCCGATCATAATCGGATTTCTGCAGTTTTCTGATTATTCAATTGGTAATCACCATACTCCGACTTCTTACAGTGTTTTCACACATAGTTCGTTTTAAAAGAACCGAACCGAGTTCTGTTAAAGTGAACCTGGAAGGGAACCAACTGCAAGTGACCTCAGTTCTTTTTGTGTTCACAACTCTAAAGGTCCATTGAGATCTCACACCACTTCTTGTTCAGACCACAACTCCATTAGAACTCGGACCCCTTTCACAGCACTCACGGTGGGCGCAGCGCTCGCCAAATGGGCCGCGTTTTCTGATAAATCCGAGCTATCAGGTGACGAGAAGAACCGTCAGACCCGCCTGCTGCTCTCCTAATGGCCGCGCTGAAACGATTGGCCGAAGTCCATCATGCAAAATTGGAAACACGGCCCTGCTAGTCTGCCGCGGTGGGCTCCGTGTTCGGCTGTGCTCCTCACTGAAGCTCCACCCGGCGAATTTTCATTCATTCAGCGTTCAGAGTGAAAACAGCTGAGAATTGCGTTGCGTGCCCAGCTCGAGCCTTTAACACGGTATAATCACGCGAGCTCTCGCATCTGATCGCTTTAATAAGTCAGCGCTGCTGTCTGTCTCAGATCACGGACAGACTTTATCCTGAGCAGAACCTCAGAATGATCCCTGGTCTGTTTACCTGCTGAAGTGCTGAAGACTGTGGCTGTGTGTACGGCGAGCATCGAGGTCTTCACCGTAAAGCAAAGCTGAAGCGGACTGGGGCCGTTTTGTTTTCCAATGCACAATTTAATCGAACCACAAAATGAACTCGAGAGGAGGTCTCAGTTCGGTTCGTTTTTGGGGCCGTTTAGGGGGGTCTCAGTTCGTTTGGTGTGTTCACATATGCAAAAGAAACCATGACTCAGCTGTCTGAGTCCACTTCAGATGCTGAAACGGCCCAAGTGTGAAAACGCCCTCAGATCGGAGTAAGGTCTAGAAATCCGATTAAGAGTCTGATAAAGAGGCCGGATTTTCACTGAGTAATCAGATTTCTCAGTGCATGTAAACTCTTACTCTGATTTCTTTCGGATTTCTCAGTCTGCGAGACGCAGCAAAACACTGTTGGAGCGACGCTGAAACCGACTACAATCTCGACGAAATGAAGGATTTAAATATACTTCATTTCGTCGAGATAAATATGTTTGTTCATATTTTCAGGTAAAATGTTGCGGCATGAAGTTTGAGGTTTGCATTATGTTTACGTCACGACTTCTTGTGTGAGTTTATTGGTTGGTTGTAAAGCAGAAATCCAGTTGATATCTGACTCATGTAGACCTGGAGTTTCCCCATTATCTGAAGTGCATGTAAACGCTGATCGGATTACAGACAAAATCTGATTTTCTGCAGTTATCGGATGTTTAAGTGCATGTAAACGCACTCACTGTTGATAGGCTGATAGCACCATCTTCAACTGGGTGGTCATGACAGCAGCCAAAATGTGTTGCTGGGCACGAGGAAGGACAAATTAGCAAAAAGGGAAAAAGCTTTGCTTTTAAAATGACACTTCAAAAGGTTTTGAAAATAAAAAAAGAGACTTTTTTTGTTATCAAAAAAGGTCTTTCTGAATGGTGCCCTGTGGAGAAACACGCTTTTTGGCACCAGGAAGGATTCATACCATCTGACCACTGAGTGCCCGCTGGTGTAACCAAAGAAAAGTTGAGGTTTGGCCTATTTTCCGACTCGCTCGACATCCTTTTGCCTTTTCTCAAAGATATTTGAGATCACCTGATGCGCCTCATTGTGTGAAAAGAGCTGTGAAATTTATGTGAAAAACACTGACCTGCAAAAGGAGAATGAACTGAGGAAAACGCTGAATAGGCTTCACCATCAGGCCGTAAAGAGTGATACGGTCAGCGCTGGACGACTGCTTCTTCTACAAACACACACAGAAAGAAAGAGAGAGAGATTTACATTTCAGAAACCCTGCAGTGGTTAAACGACTCCGGGTTAGCAACAGAATCACCTCCACACAGAGCGGATAGATTTCGGCACTCCGGGGAAAGTAAGAGGGAAGCGAAGAGGGAGAGAGAGAGAGATAGAGAGAGTGGGTGTGGGTGGAGGTTAGTATCATAGTATCGATTGTCTCAGCTTTGCCAAAAGCCTTTGGCAGTCATTAGATACTGTACTGTCAGAGTGGAGGTGTAGTTGGGAGCACTCAAGAGAGGGAATATATCAGACCACGCTTGACCGTGCATTTATACAATGGAGGGTCAGTTTCCCACACATAGATTAAGCCTAGTCCTGCACTAAATCACTCTGTCAGCGTCAATTTCCCACTGAAAAAGCCCCCTTTTTAGCTTTTAACTAGTCTGAGTCCAGAAATCCCTTCCCTAAAGTTTTTTCCTAACCTTTTTTTAATGCCGTATTTACAGACACCATCATCCACATTCACAGCTAGTTTGGAAACAGTTCTGAAATACAGTATAAGCTTCAAGCTTTGGAACATTCCACTAGTTTCTTACAGGAATGCACAAAACATGTTCAGCATCACCTTCGCAATGCAAATCTTTGACTTTGTTCAACGATCCGATCTTTTTCTTCATATGTGACACAGATGTGTTGTTTAAACTGACCCACATCGGAATTCATGCGACTTTTACGTCAATCCAGCTAGGCATTCGTCATAATTTCGCGCTGCTGAGACTCAAACATTTAGGCTGATGTTTCTGTACAAAAAAACAGAAGAGACTCATCGCAACCGCTCAGCCGCAGGAGAACGAGGCTGCAGCGTCAAAGAACAGTTAAAAGTCTGAAAGCAAAGTTTAAAGAATCCGAGGACGCGAACCAAAGAAGTGACCGCGCCCTTTTTACGGCTCGAACACATTCTGGGTGATGAGCCCAGCTGTCAGTCAGTGACGCTTCATGATGGCTCCTGTGATTCTGGTGAAGATGAAGCTGATCCTCCGGGACTGACTGGCGCTCTTTGGTGGTCATGATTGTTTACCTCTGGATGAGCCGTGAAGCAGCGTGACGCTCTGTTCTTTTGGTCAGTTTAGGAGCTGATCTGTTCAGACTGATGTCGCATACAGATCACATTTAACAGATATTGTGAACAGACAAAAACCACAGTATAACATTTGAATTTGTTATACAGTACAACAAGTGTTTTGAGGGTAAATGAAATCAGATATGGCTTTCTTCTCTTCACAGCACCCCAGACGACCACCACAAACAAGAGGCTGCACTGACAGCTGCTGTCAGCTGTGTGAGTGTTTACTGCTTCCAATGACTGAGGCTGTTTGGTCTGATGGTGTTTGGTCTGACACCGTTTTCTGAGGCCGTTTGGTCTGACGGTGTTTGGTTTAGTACCTTTTTCTGATTTTTCTGAGGGCATTTGGTCTAATACCTTCTTCTGAGGCCGTTTGGTCTGACGGTGTTTGGTCTAATACCTTCTTCTGAGGCCGTTTGGTCTGACGGTGTTTGGTCTAGTACCTTTTTCTGAGGCTGTTTGGTCTGACGGTGTTTGGTCTAGTACCTTTTTCTGAGGCCGTTTGGTCTGACGGTGTTTGGTCTAGTACCTTTTTCTGAGGCCGTTTGGTCTAATACCTTTTTCTGAGGCTGTTTGGTCTGACGGTGTTTGGTCTAGTACCTTCTTCTGAGGCCGTTTGGTCTGACGGTGTTTGGTCTAGTACCTTTTTCTGAGACCGTTTGGTCTAGTACCTTTTTCTGAGGCTGTTTGGTCTGACGGTGTTTGGTCTAGTACCTTTTTTTGAGGCCGTTTGGTCTAATACCTTTTTCTGAGGCTGTTTGGTCTGACGGTGTTTGGTCTATAACCTTTTTCTGAGGCCGTTTGGTCTAGTACCTTTTTCTGAGGTCGTTTGGTCTAATACCTTTTTCTGAGGCCGTTTGGTCTGACGGCGTTTGGTCAGTCTCAGGCATCAGGCAGCATATTAATAACCATTTCACGTAATGACCTTCTGTGCGTTTGCTTTCAGAGGCATTAAACATTTCAGATATCCGAAATTCAGATTCTGACCCAGGAGCGTTTCACATCAAACCACTCTGAATGACTGTCTATATCTTAACAGTTTAATTACAGAGAAAGTTTGAAAAATCTGTGGAATTCCCCTTTCAGGCCAGCAGTGTAGTGTTTTTTTCCAGACTGAGTCCGAACTCTTGAGCCCAAGAGTCAGTTCAGGGGCGAGTCTGAGTCGATTCGCAAGTCAGGTGACACGTGGCTCGAGTGCAACTCTATATACTACTCCAAAAAACTCAGACATGTAAAAACAACAGAAGACTTATTGATTGGGTTTCTGCCTATTGGCTTCTATTATAAGTGTGCTGAAAGTCCATAAGGGTTTCTGTTCTTTTACTAAAGTGTTGAAATACACCCACACAGCTCTTAGGGAGTTTTCTTGCCACTGTTGCCATTGGCAACGCTCATGGGGGTCGGCCCCGGATTTTTCTGTAAAGCTGCTTTGTGACAACATCTGTTGTAAAAAGTGCTATATAAATAAATTTGACTGACGTGACTTTTACATTTTCTAAAACGCTTATCCTTCTGGGTTGCAGCGGGTGCTGGAGTCTATCCCAGCACTTATTAGGTGGAAGGCAGGACATTGGACAGTCCATTGCAGGGCAGACCTATACATCCACACACACTCTCAACATGTAGGTGTAATTTAGAATGTCCAACTGGCCTGACTTCAGCTCTTTGGACTGTGGGAGGAAACCCATGCAGACACAGGGAGAACATGCAAACTCCACACCCTGGTCGCCTGGCCAGGGAATCCCAGGGCCTTCTTCTTGCTGTGAGGTGAAAGCACTACCCACCGCGCCAACGCCAGACAAATATTGGTTTGAAAAACACTGTAGTTCACCTTTAACACATCTAATCACCCACAGGAACCCATAAATCTGTATTAGGAAGTTAGAAAGTGCATTAAAATGAATCCACACTGCTCGCGTGCTGAGAGGTTAACAAAAACTCTGCAGAGATAAATACTGACAACAAATCTCCTGCTGTAAATAAACATGAAAAAAACCTCAATAGAAAGAAAACAAAAGAAAACTGTACTCGCCTTGAGGAAGTCCAGGAAGGCAGGTTTGGATAAGCAGGCTTTCTTAATGAGCGCCATGGCGTTGGTGAAGTTATTGACATAATCACTATACACGTCCAGCACCATGGACTTGGAGAACTGTGGAAGACCCGTTGAGAAGATCAGCGTGTGAAAAAATGCTTTGAATGCAGATTTATTCAGTCCCTCCATGCTTACAATTCACATGGGCCAAACTCGGCTTATTAATTCAACAGCAATGTTTTTTCCTTTTGACTTCACAAATGAAAGCACTGAAACTTTTTTGGATGCCAGTGAGCCCAGGTGATTGTAGGACTGAGAGAAGGAAATGAATGGTAATTACAGTGTGCTACACTTAGAGAATTGGCCAAAACCCCTTGAATTCAAACACAACAAACCACCACAACTCCAATTATAACTGGGCATATTAAGAGCTGGAAAAAATGGTGGCCATCAATTTCTTTTGCCTTGACTGAAGGTAAACAGTGCTGCAAACAGTGGTTACATTTATAGGAAACTAACAGGGCATGAATAGATGTTAACTCCTTACATGCCTTCTCTCCACTGCAGCCAGCTGTGCCTAATGGGACAACACTATGAATTTCTGTTTACATACAGTATGGTGCAAAAGTCAGAGACCACCCTTTTTAATTTCCAGTGAAAATGGAAATTGAGTGCAAGTTATTCACTTTTCAGCATCAGGAAAACAAGCAGAAAACAAATATTTAACAGAAAATCAACAGAAGCCTCAGCTTTCGTTCTTTTCAGGAGACCCAAAATCAGCTTTTTAAAGAAACCTGCGGGGATTTTTTTTTTTTTACACCACCAAAGTTCAGTCTTAGAAGTTGTTTAGATTTTCTGCTTCTCACAAAGTACTCGCAAACACATTCAGTGATGTTGAGGTCTGGACTCTGGGGAGGTCAGTGTTGTTCTGAGAACATCAGCAGCTTCTTTGTTTCACCTGTAGATTGTCTGATTCATTTTCTGAGATGATTAGATAAGATAATCCACAGCATAATGAAGTGAAAGTCAAAGGAAAAGAAGTGAAAAGACAGGAGTTTCCAAAACTGGAGATCAAAAAGTTATCATTAGCATTAAAGGGGCATTAACACCAGGAAAAGTCGTGGTATTGTGGCCAAAGGGTTTGCAAAAGGAAGGTAGTAACTTCCCTGTGTAATCAGTATGGTCGATCCCGAAGGAGTGTGTGGAACTTGAGTTTTCATCGTTGCCACTACAGCAACCGAGGCCCCAACGCATTATGGCAACCACCCCCCCGCCACCCCAGAGTTAGCCCACTTTATCTTCCAAATATCGCAAGTTTATTCTTAGAACGTTACGACTTTATTCTCTAAATATTCTGACTTCTACGTAAGTCCAGAGAGGCCATGAGCTGTTGCTATAATTTTCTGGATTGTTATTTTGAGATAAGTAACTCGTTATTTCAAGATAACAATTTTGTTATCTTGAAATAACGAGATAAATAAGTCTTTATCTCAAGATAAGTAACTTGTTATCTCAAAGTCACAATCCAGAAAAATAGAACTACCTCATAGCCTCTCTGGACTTTAAACTTTATTCTCAAAGTCTATTATTTTTCATTTTTTTCAACAGTGGCCCTAAAACGCCATTGTAAAAATGGGACTCCTAACAAGGGTCTGTAGCTGCTACACCACCAACACTGTCCCAATCAGATAAACATCTCTGAGAGAGAGGAGAAAATCAAGCTGCTTCAGATCTGAAAACATCCACAGGTGTTTCTGTCCATCCTTCCACTGTGAGAAGACGACTCAGCGCTGTGGGTCTGAAAAGATGTGTAGGTGTTGCAGACGTTGCTGAGAAAACGAAACAGGCAAGATAATCCGCAAATCTAACAAAGAAGCTGCTGGTGTTCTCAGAACAATGGACTGACCACCCCAGCGTCCAGAGCTCAACATCACTGAATGTGTTTGGGATTGTGAGAAACAGAAAATGGAACCAACTTCTATGACTGAACTTTGGATACGTGGAAAAACATCCCTGCAGATTTGAGAAACTGAAAGTGTGTCTCCTGAAAAGAATGAAAGCTGTGATAAAGGTAAACGGTGACCAATTTGATGTTACACTTAGTTGTTGAGGCTTCTGTGTAATTTTATGTTACGTTTTCTGCTCTTTTATACTAACTGTGCTGAATGTCTTGAGAGGAAATAAAACAAACTGCACAGTATTGTTTACATGGAAAGAGAACAGGACTATTCAGCTTTGTCTATGTACATATACTCCTGTTTGTCCGTGCTACAGCTCATGCTTAAGCAATGTCAGCTACACAATTATAAGCTAAAAATAAATAAGCTGGAATAAAACAGTCTCTGTGGTAACTCATCATGCTTAAGGGGCTCTGTGGAAATCCGAAACATTGCACAGTAGAATCACAGACCAAGTGTGCTCTTTTAACTGGTGAATAATAAGAGGGCCCTGTGGACGCTCTCCATGTGGAGGGTCATAGCAGCGTTCATTCATTAGGCCATTAGTCCGCCTGCAGCGCTGCTATGCTAACTCTCTTCACCCCGTGATAGAGACACAGCCGTAATTGCTTCTGCGTTTCATGAAAGACGCGTTGCACTGTAGGAACTGCAAACTGCAGTAGTCTCTGAGCCTGAACTCAGGCCTCTGGTTACATTCGCCAAACACGAAACAAGAAATATTACTTATGAATCTTAATCTGCTGAAGCTGTGCTGTTCAATCAATTACCATATACACAGTAGAGCCACATTATTATGACCACCAGCTAATATCCAGAGTAACCGCCGCGTGCAGCACGGACAGCAGCCAGACAGGCTGGGAGTGACTCAATAAGGTCCGGGTAGGTTGTCACAGGTATCTGGAGCCATGCTGACTGCAGTGCATCCCACAGCTGCTGGAGGGGGCCGGGGGGGGATCCATAGAGCGAACTTGATGATCGAGGTGGTCCCACAGATGCTCAATTGAGTTCAAGTCTGGGGAATTAGCGGGGCAGGGGAGTACTTGGAAGTCTTGGTCTTCCATGCTCTTCCAACCAACGTCGGACATTTCTAGCCCTGTGACGTCGCTGGAAGATCCCATCTGTCCCAGCGAAGACAATCAGCATGTATGGGTGTTCGTGATCTGCAAGGATGGATTCACACCCAAATCGGTTGAGAGTGCCTTCCACATGGATGAGTGGATCCAGAGAATGCCACGAAAACAGTCCCCAGACCATAACGCTGCCACCACCAGCTTGTGGACATGAAGTGCTGTAAGCTGTAAGTTTTCCTGATTTCTGTTTCTTGTGGTAAACTTGTTATCTGTGCAGTATTGTGGGCGGAGTTCTCACAGGCTCCTTTCTACCAACAGCCCAACAGCTGGATAAAACTCCATAACAATATTTTTGGTACAATATTCTCTCAGTTTGTGTCATTCTAACACCGGTGTGCAAAAGTTTGGGTGCCTGGGCCAAATGACATTTTATTAATTTAAAGTGAAGATAAGTTTCCACATCCTCTACAGAGATCAGACTTCTGTGCATTTTAACACACAATTACTGTTTTTGGTAACATTTTATCTGAACTGGTCCTTTGTACATAATAAACTCACATCAACAACATATCAGTGAAGTAGCAGTAGTGAAGCGTCTGAACACACTGAAGTAAATATCTTGTAGATGTTCTGTTGATACATTACTTACATTAAGTAGATGTGTTGTTAATATGTTACTTCCATTATGCAAATCCTAACCTTACCAACCTTACCCAACACCTAACCCTCACTCTGGGCTTAATCCTAACCCTAACCTTAACCTCAACCCAAAACCTAATCCTAACCCTCACCTTAAGATCGACCCAAAACCTAATCCTAACCCTAACCTTAAACTCGACCCAAAACCTAATCCTAACCCTCACCCTGGCCCTAATCTTAACCGTAACCTTAACCTCAACCTAAAACCTAATCCTAACTCTAACCTTATCCTCAACCCAAAACCTAATCCTAACTTTAACCTTAACCTCAACCTAAAACCTAATCCTAACTCTAACCTCAACCCAAAACCTAATCCTAACTTTAACCTTAACCTCAACCTAAAACCTAATCCTAATCCTAACCTAAACTCAAAACCTAATCCTAACCGTAACCTTAACCTCAACCCAAAACCTAATCTTAACCATAACCTTAACCTCAACCCAAAACCTAATCCTAATTCTAAATTTAACCTCAACCCAAAACCTAATCCTAACTCTAACCTTATCCTCAACCCAAAACCTAATCCTAACTCTAACCTTAACCTCAACCCAAAACCTAATCCTAACTCTAACCTTAAGATCAACCCAAAACCTAATCCTAACCCTCACCCTGGCCCTAATTTTAACCATAACCTTAACCTCAACCCAAAACCTAATCCTAATTCTAAATTTAACCTCAACCCAAAACCTAATCCTAACTCTAACCTCAACCCAAAACCTAATCCTAACTCTAACCTTATCCTCAACCCAAAACCTAATCCTAACTTTAACCTTAACCTCAACCTAAAACCTAATCCTAACTCTAACCTCAACCCAAAACCTAATCCTAACTCTAACTTTATCCTCAACCCAAAACCTAATCCTAATCTAAACTCAAAACCTAATCCTAACCCTAACCTTAACCTCAACCCAAAACCTAATCCTAACTCTAACCTTAACCTCAACCTAAAACCTAATCCTAACTCTAACCTCAACCCAAAACCTAATCCTAACTCTAACCTTAACCTCAACCCAAAACCTAATCCTAACTCTAACCTTAACCTCAACCCAAAACCTAATCCTAACTCTAACCTTAACCTCAACCTAAAACCTAATCCTAACTCTAACCTCAACCCAAAACCTAATCCTAACTCTAACCTTAACCTCAACCCAAAACCTAATCCTAACTCTAACCTTAACCTCAACCTAAAACCTAATCCTAACTCTAACCTCAACCCAAAACCTAATCCTAACTCTAACTTTATCCTCAACCCAAAACCTAATCCTAATCCTAACCTAAACTCAAAACCTAATCCTAACCCTAACCTTAACCTCAACCCAAAACCTAATCCTAACCCTAACCTTAACCTCAACCCAAAACCTAATCCTAACTCTAACCTTAACCTCAACCCAAAACCTAATCCTAACTCTAACCTTAACCTCAACCCAAAACCTAACCCTAACTCTAACCTTAAGATCAACCCAAAACCTAATCCTAACTCTAACCTTAAGATCAACCAGTTTGTGACATGTTACTGAGAGTCTGTTGAGTGGTTGAACAGAACCACTCAGAATGAAGTGTCACCCTATTTTGCTGAATTTAACATACTGGAAAAAGGAAATGTGGCCTGTGAAAAAGACTCATTTCATATTTTATATTTCATAAATAAATAAAAGCAAATGAACAGAAACTGTGTACTAAAATTTGCATATTTAAGTGTGTCTCTGTAGAGGGTGCCAACTTATTTTCACTTCAACAAAACATAATTTGACTGAGTGTTCACATTTCTGCATTTGACTGTAGAGTGTAACGGCTGTAGGTTAAACTTGTTCTCTGTAGTCACCACAGGGGAACCCTCAGGGCCCTTCGAGGCCTTGAACTATTAAAAATACATATCTGTTCTTTAGGTTGAGTTTTGTTTGGAAACAAAGGGTTTAAAATCTTGACATGTACATCAGGACTGGTTTCCCAGAGGTATCTGGATAGATCAAGAGCTGAAGAGAAGGCCTTACATGTTTGATCAAGGGCGTCAAACTCAACCAAAAAAAGGGCCATATTAAAAGATCTCAACAAATCTGTGGGCAAGAATAAAAAATGTTTTTATTTCATATTGATTAATGTTGTGCTGTAAACTGAACTGGCCACTGTTTATTCAAAAACTTAAGCAGTAAAATAGAGACACTTGTGGCAGACCTTAAAATATTACATGAATACTTAAAATATTCAAAAATGTAAATGTTCCCAGGAGCTCAGCCTTTCAAACCTACCTATTTGCTTGTGTAGAACTGTGTAGAACACAATACCATTCGCCAAACAAAATGGGCTGTAAGATGCTTTACAGACTGGCTGGAACAAAACAACATTAATACTGATCTGACGAAACTGAGCTAAACTTGATATTGTGGCAGTTTTATGGCTCAGTCTGATTTGGTCAGACTCTGAAGATCAGACTACACGTTTGGCGGATGGTATTGGGTTCATTTCTGGCTGATTCCAGGTTGTTTAGCTGTTCTTCTGTCACAGCTGCTCAGTGGTGATGACAGTTTGGGAATTCAGTGTAAGGAGCTGGAGAACGAACTGCCGGCCGTGCAGCGAGTGGGCGGAGCTCGTTACTCTGACGTAGCAACAAGCTGCTCGTTAAGGAACTATAATTTGGTGAAGGAACTGCGAACATTAAAACATATTAAACGCCGCGTTCACGGCCCAGTTTATTAATTTATTACTGTATTTATTTAACTGTTGTATAAAAGCAGTAGAACACTCGAGGAGTGTGTTATCGCCAATAACATCACGGCTGTGATGATCTACGGTGACCAAATCACAGCCGGGATGTTATTTCGCGATAACACACTCCCTCTGTGTTCTATTACTTAATTATACTCTCTCTGCCGTTTGTTGACTTTAAAAAACATATGATTTGGGCTAAAATCTTATCTTAAAACTATCGAAAAACATCTGGGATTATGTATTTGTGAGCATTTTGTGTAACAGCTTTCTGTCATGTAACTTTTAGAGGTTCGGATGTTTGGTTCCCACCACCACCACTGTGAACTGGATTTCTCTAGAACAAAGCTATTCACATCAAACCACTCTGAAAGACTTTGTTTACCATCTTAACCATTTAATTATGCAGGAATTCAATGGAATTTCCCCTTAATGTGAAACGTTTGAGAGAAAATAATAGTTCTCGCTCACCGAGGCTACGAACAAATCCCCAATCTTCTCGCTAGCGTCCCATTCGGCCACGCGGGACGCCAGGGCAATCTGGAACATGGAGTGGCACTGGGTGATCTCCCGCACACGGAAGAAAATGGGCCGGATCTTCCTGGGGCTCAGGATGCGGGGCTCCGCCTCCATCAGGGGCCGCTGGTACTCCTGTGGAATCGTAGGAAAGGGAAACCCGCTTGAGTGCGCTGTCGCTTTAAGAAAGATCAGGTCTCGTTATCTGTGTGGGAAGCATGAGCTGATTTACTGCTGCGCTGTGCCTCACCTTGAAAGCGGAGGAGGGTTGAGAGGGTTGCGCAAACTTAAACAGAGACGCTTCTGAATTCACTTTAGATTTCATTCATTACAACATCGCAGAGGTTTTAAATGCCCCATTTACATAAATAAATACATCCTTGTGTTTGACCCAAGGAGACGCGCGCATACTTAATCATCGACTTACAGCATGTTCTCTCATTTCTTCAAGCTTCCTCACGAACCCTTCAGTGAACTCCTCCATTAATTCCCTCGCGGCTTAAGAAGGCAGAGCGTTTTCTCGCATGAGAAGTACGTTATGAAAGTTCTGCGCGGTTCTGAATGAAGTGAGACAAGTCAGCGGTCTAATATGTGAGAGTGAGGTTTAAAGCCTGCAAGTGAACTTAACTCAATGTGCGTTAACAGCTGCTCTGACGGCTTTCCGAAAGAAATGCGGTGGACAAAAATACACATCGTAGTCACGGCCATTGAGGGGCCTCCACTGCCTCGGAACACCGAAAGCGAGCAGGACGACTTTCATGAATAAACCATAAGGCCCAATCTTTAAAAGCAAAGACGCTTTGTAGCAGATTGTGGAAACAACAGATTTCTCATGACTGCTTTCTACCCTCCTCCTCGTTCTCGGGTGCTAATGAACTATCGACAAACACGAAATAAGGCTGAGGCCGAGGCAAAGGGACGCTTCTTCCCCAGCAAAGCCTACAGAGGCAACCCCACCACTAAACTCAATTATCCTACGGCTTTAATCTTCTTCCCGTCCCACCGTCAGCGATTATTGGACCATCTAGGCCGTCCGCGCAGCTTTATTGGCGAACGCACTTGTTGAGCACAACAGTCCAAGAAAATGCAACACTATAATGAGAATGCGAATCGTAAAGGACTACAGACGGGACTTTGATTCCACAACAAAGCTGGGAAATCACGTAGATCTAGACGGACTAGATTTCACAAGTCTGTCATTGATCCGCGATTCAATTTGGGGCCGAGCCTCAGCCTTCAGAGGGAAAGTGATAATCTATGCTCGTCTGGCTCAGATCACAGATATGTTCTGCGGAAACCTGCCAGGTGTATCGGGTTCTGTTTAAAAGGATATGTAAGTCAATGTGAATCTGATTACGACACACATTATGAGGTACTAAAGTCGTTGTTTTGTGGCTTCAAACCAGCCCGAACATCCAGTTTGTCTGAAGCTCTTCCAGCCATTACAACCTCCAAAAATTTGTCAAGACGCCATGAAAGTTGCCTAAACTCAATAAACAAACTGTGAATCAAGTGACGGTTTAAAAAACGCTGGAGATGGTGCCTCTATTCACTGTTTCATGTCTAACTTATATGGTATATGTTATAACTACAGGACAAAAGCTGGGAAATGTTCCACAAAGCAGCTCTGAATTAAGATCACAGCACTTTCCAACCAAAAGCTTAGTTCATTGAGTTGAATCCATGTTTTGCAAAAGAAAATTTGTTAAAGATATAGGATAACCTGAAATAGGCCTGCTTAAAAAGTGGCCAAAATGTTACCCTAAGCCCACGCCCTCTCCCAATGAGAGAACAAATGTAAGTATAAAATACATAGAATTTAAATATCAGTTACATATAACCAAATTAAATTCTCATTTTCCTTTTAAAATCACATTTTTTGAAAAAAATCAGTAGAAAAATATAGTGTAATGCTGTAGACATACACTGTGAAAGATTCCACTTATCTACCTTCTTTATTTGTATGTTGTTTTGTCCCTCAGCGTTGCAATTTGCCCACCCAAGACAAAAAAAAGTTTGTGTAACCCTGCTGTAAAATAATCAAAATTCTACATAAATAAATAAATATATTTTACTTTTTAAACAAACCTGCTTTTCATTTTTACTGCTGTAATATTTCAGATTTTAGTAAGAAAAATCTCTTTAAATTTCTGAATGTTTTCAAAATGGACTGAGAAAGATTTTTTTTTTATTTTTCTTAATGTTTTAATAATTACAAGTACTTAAAAAGCACATAAAAATGTGATGTTGAGACAACTTCATAAACAATTGATTTATGTTCAGAATAAACCTGCTTAACTGTGATTTTAAATCGCTTTACTGTGACTCTAAATGGATTGAAAGTGTGTGTCAGCAATGAAAAAATATTCAAATCATACAGAATTATGACACTGGATCCTAATAAAGCAGAGAAACAGCATTTACAGCACACAGGGGTGCATGCAGAGTTTATCAGCCCCTCTAGCCGGTTCCTGCAAGGAAAAGAAACCACTATGGCATCCAGAATCCATTCACAGGTATCATTTATATCAGTCATCCTCTCTCCCTTCATTAGTGGTCAGTTTGTGAAAACAGGACCAGAAACTGGTTCACCACCCAGAGAATATCAGGTCAGCGATTCTGGTCCCTTTCCTTTGATGGATGGTGCACAGGGGAGCTGACAAAGTGCACCTATATGGTCAGTGTTTCTGACAAAAAGGCCAAAGAGTTTAAGAATTCCCTGTTTTTCAGTTATTGTACTCCTCCTGTATCTCAGACACATACTAGTGATTTGTGATCTGCTTCTGTAACCAAAATGCATCCAAAGCCATGAGGACACTCAGGACTCACCTGAAGGATTCTTTTGAGAGACTCCAGATAGCTCCTTTCACTCTGCACAATGGAGCCCAGAATGTGGCGCCGGATGATCTAATCAACAAAGAAGACTGATTTAAAGACGGGAGGAAGTGAAGGAGCCGGTATAAATGTAGGGTCACACTGTACACTCACTGGACATGTTGTTTAAAGGGGCCAAAAATAGAAGGACTCCTAACTGGCTACAGAAAGCATTTGCAAGCTTTGATATCTGCCAAAAAGGGGTGTTAAATTAATCAGAGTATAAAGAATTTCAGATTTCTTTTAAAAGTTTGCTGCTGAGGTTGAATTCATTTCTTTTCACTACAAAAAAATAAAACTATGTAATTTGGCCAGGGGTGCCAACTGCACACAATGGTACATACACAGAAATCAGAGCACATTTGTTTTCCTTAACGTGGCATATTTCCAAGCGAAACAATACTGGGGTGAGAAATAATTGCACTGTACAAAATGAGAGTTCAGCTCAACTTAAAATGATATAGTAACTGATTATTTGGCTTTTCTTGAGTTGACTCAACTTGAGTTCACACAACTCAAACTTCTTAGTTGAGTCAAAAATCCAGCTACTGTTTCTAGATCTGCATCTCAGTTAGATAAACAAAACTGTTTTTTTTTTTACTTAGTTCCTCCACTAGCTGGCGCTCTTTCTATCACACAGTCCCATCTGGCATATTTTCCTCTTGGGCTTCCGGATATGAACAGCTGTGGCATTGCTGAGATTCAAACTCACAACCTCCTGATTTTGGGATGAATTATTAGACAGCGGCACCAGATGAGACGATGCAGTGCTTTAAAGTTAAAACATATATTTTAAAACATATGTTTGAGCCTCAGCGATGCCACAGCGATCTGTAAGTGTGAACCCAAGAGGGAAAATGTCCAGTAGGATTGTGTGATGGAGAGAGTCCTGGCTGGTGGGGAAGAGGAGTATAAAAAAACAAGTTAATTTTATTTACCAAACTGAGACAAAGAACTAAAAATTAATAGTAATAATAATAATTAATAATAACTTTTGACTCAACTAAGAAGTTTGAGTTGTGTGAACTCAAGTTGAGTCAACTCAAGAAAAGCAATGAAATCAGTTACTATATCACTGTGAGGTGAGCTGAGCCCTCATTTTTAACAGTGTGTGGGAGGGACTTTGGGATTCGAATGGATGGTGAAAAGTGCACATTCCAAAACGAACAATGGGTCAGACTGTAACGGTCAGAAGAATCTGTCCATTTTGCAGAAATTCAATTTAATTACGTCATTTGGTGTGTATTTTCTGTAGATTCTGAAACATGATTTATTATTGATTAAAAGTTTGAATTTAATGTATATTTTTTTACAATTTTTCAAGACAGTCAGCAGGCTAGCCTTTAACGTCTGCACCGCTCTCACCTTTGTTACATTTTCACAGCAAAAACAAGAGAATAAAAGTACAAATAAATCAATGTACAAGTGTAACTATCTAATGTGTGAGGAAGATATGTACAGGGTGTTTGTGTGTGTGTGTGTGTGTGTGTGTGTGTGTGTGTGTGTGTGTGTTGCTCCATCATCAGTTGACCTGCCTCAAAAATTGTAAATAGCACAAATCCTGCTGGATAGTTGAACTACCACACTCACGTTCAGATGATCAAGGGTTGCCAGCATAAACAAACTGAAGTAACTCATAAGTTTTTATTCTTCCCAACCGATTAAATTCACCTTGCATATGGGCAGAGGGCAGTCGTGGGCTGGAGGTTAGGGAACCAGCCTTGTGACCGGAAGGTTGCTGGTTCGATCCCCTGAGCTGACAGTACGTGACTGAAGTGCCCTTGAGCAAGACACCTAACCCCCAACTGCTCCCCGGGTGCTGTGGATAGGGCTGCCCACTGCTCTGGGCAAGTGTGCTCACTGCTCCCTAGTGTGTGTGTTCACTAGTGTGTATGTGGTGTTTCACTGCATAGATGGGTTACAAGGCGGAGGTGAAATTTAAGGGTCACTTAACTGTCACATGACAGCCATATAATTCATATCAAAATGCTCCGTTATCTTCGCCGCTACTTTCCAAAGCCACTTCAGCAGCTGTAAACTCTCTGCACACCATTTCACGAGTCTCCGATGTGGACTGAATGAAGAATGAAGGGTTTCCGGAGTGATGGTCAGTGATTAGTGATTTCCGGAGTGTCTATCGGTCAGTTTCACACAGAATGTAGACAGACACACAAATCCACCGGTTCCACACGGTGAGAGGCAGATGACGTGTATCTCAGCCCCTCTTCATAGGCTCATAACTCCGGATGTGAGTCTCATATGATCTCGTGATAACATGGAATGGAAAGGGCGACTCTACAGATTCAGGAAGTGTTTGAACTGGATTTCTGCTCTGTATTACTTTAAAGACAGAGAAACAGATACAGAAACAACGAGTTTGTGGACCTGAGACAGTTAACTAATCCTTGATGAGCTATAAACTCTGTTTAATTCAATCATTGTTGGTGAAACCCACCCAAAGAGAGTTTGGAAACTGGTTAAAGATGCTGCTTTTTCTTTTCCGATACCTTGAGAACATCCCATAACACAATGCGCATGTGTGCTTGGATTCTGGAGAATGTAGAATAAGGCCCCTTTAAAGGAGAGGAGGGTGTGGAGGTTCAGTTAACGTCTGTTTAATGCAGTGTAGAGCTCTGTGTTCCCTGTTGAAAATGGGGAAATGTACATGTCCTTCCACCACATCACACTCTGTCTTGCAAACGCACTCACACACACACCTGTTGGCTGCTGAGTCCCTCTGGCATCGGGCCAAGCTGTGCTGGAGGATGCTTTGCCTCCGACACGATCACATCCAGATACCCTGCATCATCTTCAGCATCGTCTACAGAGAGAGAGAGAGAGGCAGAGAGAGAAAATGAGGCAGAAAGAGAAAAGGAAACAGAGCGGAAGAGATACAGAGAATGAGAGAAAGAATGGGATAGAATGAGAGAGAGAGAGAGAGAAAGAGAGAGACAGAGAGAGAAATCAGAGACAAAACAAGACAAGAAAAAAGCACCACAGATAGAGAATAAAAGACAAAGAAAGAAAGAAAGAAAAAGACACAGAGAGAGAATGAGCGAGAGACAGATAGGGAGAGGAAGTATGAGAGGAATGAAAGAAATAGAGAGAAAAAAGACAAAGAGCGAGAGAGAGAGGGAGAAAATGAGGCAGAAAAAGAAAAAAAAACAAAGCAGAAGAGATACAGAGAATGAGAGAAAGAATGGGATAGAATGAGAGAGAGAAAGAAAGCACCACATATAGAGAATAAAAGAGAAATAAAGTAAGAAAGAAAGAAAGAAAGAAAGAAAGACAGAGAGAGAGAGAGATTGAGCGAGAGACAGATAGGGAGACGAGGTATGAGGAATGAAAGAAATAGAGAGAAAAAAGCGAAAGAGAGGGAGAGAGAGATAGATAGATAGATAGATAGATAGATAGATAGATAGATAGATAGAAAAGATAAGAGATAGAACGGGATAGAATGAGGGAGAGAGAGAGAGAAAGAGAGAGAGAGAGAGAGAGGGGGAAAACAGAGACAGAACGAGAGATAAAGCAAGAAAGCACCACAGATAGAGAATAAAAGAGAAAGAAAGAAAGCAAAAAAAAAACAGAGAGAGAATGAGTGAGAGACAGAAAGGGAGTGGAAGTATGAGAGGAATGAAAGAAATAGAGAAAAAACAGAGAGGGAGAGAGAGACAGAGAGATAGATGGGGAAAGAGAGAGAGAGAGACAGAGAGAGAAAACAGAGAGAGAGAGGGAGGGGGAGGGAGAGAGAGACAGAGAGAGAGAGAGAGACAGAGAGGAGAGAGAGATAGAGAGAGAGGGAGAGAGGGGGAGAGAGAAAGAGAGAGAGAGAGAGAGACAGAGAGAGAGAGAGAGAGGGGGAGAGAGAGAGAGAGAGAGAGAGAGAGAGAGAGAGAGAGAGAGAGAGAGAGAGAGAAAGGCACCACCTTCCTTCTTCTGCTTTGACAGCAAAGCAAATTCAAATATTCTGACTTTATTATAGACCTGAATGAACTCTGTGCGTTTTTCAAAACGCGCTCAAACACTGCGGCAAATCTGAAGCCGCTCAGAAACAGGCTGTTCTAAACCACATCCGAACGCTCGCTCCCTCCGCACGGCTACAAAGCAGCCTGACAGACAAACAATTTCTCAGCGCTGCGGCGGCACAAAAGCCTGCGAATATTCAAACAAGTTCTGGCAAGCAGTGCAGTTAATGACTGGAATAGCAATGGCGTCAGCGGGAATCAAAACATTTAACATTTAACGCTCAGCCTTTCCAGCTGCTATCAATACCTGAAATGACAATTAGTGACCTTTCTCCCTCGACTTGATCATGAGAGGGTTTTTTCCCGGGTGTTATATGTGGCTGCAGTGGGGAGTCTGCCAGGCTCCATTACCGGATGCTAATCTCTCCACATTGTGCTGAGGAGGTTCGTGGGGTGCCAATCCAGTCATTCAAATTTTCCCTTTCGATTCTCGCGCACATCAAACACCTGCGTCTGCTTTTCCGTTCTATCGGTCCTCAGCCCGACGTGACATATTCTTAGCCATTTCATCCCAGAAATCTCACAGCATCGGCAACTTTCCTCCAGAGCGACTTATTCCACTGAAAAAAAACAAACCGGGAACCCACAGAACACATTTGTATGTACTGGCTTTTTTATTCTACAACCCCATTTCCGAAAAAGTTGTGACGCTGTGCAAAATGTAAATGAAAACAAAATGCAGTGATGTGCAAATCATTTAAACCCTACATTTATTTAAAAATGGTACAAAGACAACACATCAAATGTTGAAACTGAGGAATTTTATTGCTTTTTGAAAAATATTTGCCCGTTTTGAATTTGATGCCAACAACATGTTCCAAAAAAGTTGGGACGGGGGCCTGTTTACCACTGTGTTTCATCACCTCTTCTTTTAACAACACTCTGTAAGTGTTTAGGAACTGAGGAGACACTGCTGTAGTTTAGAAAGTGAAACATTTTTACATTTTTTTGATTCAGGATTTCAGCTGCTCATCAGTTCAGGGTCTCCTTTGTCACATTTTTCATTTTATTATGTGCCAAATGTTGTCAGTGGTGACAGGTCTGGACTGCAGGCAGGTCAGTTTAGCACCCAGACTCTTTTAATACGGAGCAATGCTGTTGTAATACATGCAGAATGTGGTTTGACATTGTTGAAGAATTTCAAATGTTGATTCGTCAGACCACAGGACACTTTTCCACTTCCCCTCAGTCCATTTTAAATGAGCTTTAACTCTCATTTGTGGATGCAGTGATGAACTGTTTCCACAGACAGTGGTTTTCAGAAGTGTTTCTGAGTCCATGCAGTGATTTCCACTACAGAATCATGTCTGTTTTTAACGCAGTGCCATCTGAGGGCCCAAAGATCACGGTCAGCAAATACTGGTTTTTGGCCTTGTCCCTTACATACAGAGATTTCTCCAGATTCTCTGAATCTTTTAATGATATTATGTACCGTAGATGATGAAAAGCTAAAGTTCTTTGCTATTTTATGTTGAGAAACGTTATTCTTGAATTGTTGCACTTTTGATGGTGCAGTCTTTCACAGAGTGGTGAGCCAGACTCTTTTAATACGGAGCAATGCTGCTGTAATACATGCAGAATGTGGTTTGACATTGCCTTGCTGAAATAATCAAGGCCTTCCCTGAAAAAGACGTCGTCTGGATGGCAGCATATGTTGCCAAAACATGTATATATCATTCAGCATTAATGGTGCCTTCACAGATGTGCATGTCACCCATGTCGTGCACTAATGCACCCTATACCATCATGAATACTGGCTCTTGAACTGTGCACTGATAACAAGCTGAGTGGTCTTTAGCCTGGAGGGCAGTGTCCATGATTCCAAGAAGAATTTCAAATGTTGATTCGTCAGACCACAGGACACTTTTCCACTTCCCCTCAGTCCATTTTAAATGAGCTTGGGCCCAGAGAAGGTGGCAGTGTTTCTGGATCCTGTACAGTTTCTTGTTTGTGTTTTAGAGTTTTAACTCTCATTTGTGGATGCAGTGATGAACTGTTTTCACAGACAGTGGTTTTCAGAAGTGTTTCTGAGCCCATGCAGTGATTTCCACTACAGAACCATGTCTGTTTTTAACGCAGAATCACATGAGGGCCCAAAGATCACAGCCAGCAAATACTGGTTTTTGACCTCGTCCCTTACATACAGAGATTTCTCCAGATTCTCTGAATCTTTTAATGATATTATGTACCGTAGATGATGAAAAGCAAAAGTTCTTTGCTATTTTATGTTGAGAAACGTTATTGTTGAATTGTGGTGCAGTCTTTCACAGAGTGGTGAGCCCCTCCTCATTTTTACTTCTGAAAGACTCTCTGAGATGCTCTTTTATACCCAATCATGTTACTGACCTGTTGCCAATCAACCACCAGGTGTTTTTTAGCATCACACCACTTTACCAGCCTTTTGTTGCCCCCATCCCAACTTTTTTGGAATGTGTTGTTGGCATCAAATTCAAAATGGGCAAATATTTTTCAAAAAACAATAAAATTTCTCAGCTTCAACATTTGATACGTTGTGTTTATATTTTTTCCAATTAAATATAGGATTTAAATGATTTCCACATCATTGCATTTTGCTTTTATTTACATTTTTGCACAGCGTCCCAACTTTTTTTTTTTTTTTAGAAAAATCGGTTTATAGATGCAAAGCACCTCATGCTGCCTGGCTGGTTAACTAACTAGTTAACTAGCTAACTAACTAGCATGTTCACTCACTCACATTTAGCAAGCTAAAGATTCCTCACAAGGGGGAGCTACACTCGCATCCGTGAGTAGTGCTTTAGTGTGAAACTAGTAAGATTTCCATCAACTTTATGCATATTTTGCAAGCAATAAAAAAAAAAAACACTTTAAAATTGTTGCAATGTTGCTGCTGGCAGCTCTTTTCCATCAGAATCACTTACAGTGATAAAAAGTCCTACTGTCACTTAAATTTAGCTTTATCAATCAAAAAGTTGCGTGTGACACATTTCTAACAAAACAAGGGTTCCAAATTCCAAACTGTGTACACATCTTCTGTCTTTCCTGACTTTGTTAGCCTATCGATAAGGGGCTCAGCAGACTTCTTGCGGAGACGACGTTCATCTGGCTTCAGCAAACAATATGACATAATTGCAGAGAAAACGAAGAACCGCAGAGGTTGCGCGGAGGCTTCGTTCACCATGCACCACACATGGCAGCTGAACGAACTCCGCGGACGAAGACGCTACACGACAAAGCCTGTGATTGGTCGGTAAAAAAGAGGCGTGCCATGAAACACAGATGGACGTCTTTGAGGAGCTTCGTTTTGCAAGAAGTACGCTGAGCGCTTTGGCAGACACACCAATATTTCTGTGAAACGCATTTTTGTTAAATAAGCAATGAAAACCTCCTAAATGTAAGACATTAAGTCTGTTATTTGGTAGTACTAATTAGTAGTGAGCACCAAAAGAAATAGGTTGACTTTGTTGTCTTTCTATTTACCAGCTTCTAGTTTGAATTTTCCCGTTCCACCTTAAATGGTGGCAGTATTCTGGACTCGAACGTCACCATAGTAAGAACTGATAGAATCATTTTTCCACTAGTCATGGAGCTTATCATGAACTGTCATAGCGTGACCTGCAGTAGTGGACAGTCCGTGTGACAGGCAACACGAAACCGCAGAGAGTATGTAAGCTTGTAAGCTCGCGAAGGAACTTTCGGCTTCACACAACCCTCAAGAATTTTGTTTCGCTGAGGCCTTAAGAGTGACAAAAACTTACCAAATACACAGAGAACTGATGAACGTTTCCTGCAGTTTTTGCAACATATCAAGTAGACTACTGATAATTAGTTGTATCTACTAAAGTTAAAAAAAATGTTGACAGTATTTGTAAGAATTACCAACAACTGTCATCTCCTTAATCCACAATGGCAAATCATTTTAAAGTGTTAAAAGATGTTTCCCATCAGTTCTCTCATATGAAAACCTGCACATTGAAAGAGAGGAAACTGGCATAATCCACACCAGCAGGATCTCTTTCACAGTCACAAACATAAGGCCTGAAACCATACTAAGCATACCCTACATGTATAGTGGAATCTGGTGATGGTGTGAAGTGTATTGCTGTGGTTTACTGTAATGTTTGTGTTTGCCTGATTGTTTGTGACAAACCCCCCTATTTTCCCATGGAGCTGCTATAATGCAAGAAAAATTCGGAGAAATCTGACAATAAAGCGTATTGTATCATATCGACCTAAGTACAAGAACACAGGGTACATTCGACACTGCTGCCTTTACAGTTTACTGACTTACTGTGGGAAACGTTCACTTGATCAGAGTAGGGACGTTTCAGCTAGACCGCGAAAATGACCACAGGCCATCGGTTCTATAAAAATAGGGCTTTTTCACTGGAGAGTGCAATTGTATGCTTATTAAATCGAATCTATCCACACCATGGTCAAGTACCTGTGACCGCTTTCCAACATACAATGGCACCACTGAAAAAAGGTTCTCTGGAGGTTGTGTGGAAGTCAAATGATTGTCCTTGTGATGCTCACGTTAATAGTAAACATAAACTACAGTAGCTACAATGGAGAATCCAGGCGCATCAACAAAGTAGAACAAGGGAACGTCAAGGTCTGATTTACCTTTTACTCTGCATTTTTGTAGATAACAGTATGACATACAGCAGGGGTTCTCAACCTTTTCCACCCCAAGGCTCACCTGTTTGTATCTGTAAAGAATAGCAGTCCACAAAAAAAATAGAATCTTTTTTTTTTCTTAATTGCTCGCACTGAAAACCTGTGAAAAGATCAGAATGTCAATTTTACTTCAAACCCAGAAACCAAAATTTGTAGTTATGCTGAAATACCATATGTTTACAGAGATGTCAAAAAAGAAGAAAAAAAAAAAGAAAAAAGTAGATGTAGGTGTGGACCGTGATTTGGAGCTGCAGTCCATCGCGTTTTCACTGAAAATACTGTTTGGTCTAGAGTCTCTTTAGGGATTTAGCGCCTCATTTGATGGCTTTTGGATCAGCATCATCACAATCGGCAATAATAATAATGATCCTTACATGAAATCTGCTTCTTCGTCAGTAGTTTATCAATTTAACTCAGGTCACTGATGCTCGTTCAAAGATCAAACGCAGATCTTCGCTATTATTTTAAGGCTCGTCTGTCATTTTTAACAGCAGCTCGAGCTGCAGGAACGACATGAGAGCGGTGAGAGTCTGTAAAGAGTCAGAGGTTCAAACAGGCAGATTATGCTGACAGTAAAACGCTGACGTCCTGCTAGAAGAAGAGGAAAGACAGCTCTACTGATGAATTCCCTCGTTTGATCATAAAATGCGTCCCACCAGCAGTGAACTCAACAGGGTTTGGTTGTAAGCGGACCGAGACCCACGTGTTCGAACCGGCATCTGATGCAGACCCGAATACAGGTGGAGTGTTCACACATGTCAGAACGGAGCGAACTAAAGAAAAAAAATGACGGGTCTGAAACAAACAAGGTAGGAGAAACACCCTGAGGAACCTCTCCATCTCTGGCTAACTGTCTGCACCGCGCGCCCACGGCTGCGTCGTCTCAAACCGATGACGTTTGCGATGTTTTCATTTATACGACTCAGCCGGCCCACCACGAACTACTGTCTACCCCTGTAATTCAGGCCCCAGACCACTAGAAGGTGCTTCATGGCCCACAGGTTGAGAAACCCTGACATACAGTGTCAGAAACCTCCATTTGGTTTAAAACATGACCTTAAATTAAGCGTGTAGTTTGCACAGTGCTAATTGGTGGGGCATACACCCCCTTTACTTGTTAGCTACATTAGCCTCGTAGCTCCAGTGCAAAACTAAAGATGCAAACATCAGACACCAAATACGTCTCAGCTGAAGGACGACATTTTGTCATAGAAGGAAAAAACAGAGCTTTAAGGAACAAAACGTCAATTACCTGAGTGATCCTTCTTCTGCAGAAAGGAGACTCTCCTCATGACGGCTATTTTGGTCTTCTCTAGGCCATCTTTAGTCCCGCTGCGTGCCGCTCGCATCAACTGATGGACCTGTAGAAGGGGACAAGAGTGGACAAGAGATCAGAGACTGACCGCAAGTCGCTTGATGGGGAACGATCAACCATCATATGCTCTGAAACACTAAAAGGTCGGCACATTTAGACGCTCCTGTCATTTACAGCGCTGCAAGGCTTGTGTTTGATGCAGCCGGTCTTCAAGGCCATAAACCCCACCCTTTAGCTGAGTGAAATCTCAGCGAACCTCAAGCCACAGGGATATTTTTAAACTAGAGAAGAGCTGGTGGCCTCACTCCCGAGAAGCAGGGCATTGATTGAGACCAACTGGTGATGCCTCAGATGTGGCGGTAAACAGACTCCAGTGGATTCATTTATATGTGTCCTCAAAACCAACCCATAAACTCATTTCAGCGGCAGATTAGAGTGAGCAAAGCAGGGAGAGTTGGTGAGAGAGAGATTGGAGCAGTGCGAAAGCGGGTTAGGGGTCCATCAATAGACATCAAACTTTGACCTTTGGACTTTAAATAGGAATGTGCGTTATCATCCAAAAGCCATAGACGTTTTAGTAAATATCTATCTTTTACTCTGTCAGTCATACAGATTTGTCGCTAAAGGACGTTAAGGGAAACTATAATAATAGCAGTATATATACACACACACACATATATATATATATATATATATATATATATATATATATACACATATCACTGCTGTTGGAAGAAAACCTTGTATCTCCATTTTTGTCGTTTTTCAGTTTTTGACCTAATTTGAAAATGCCTGTTGCTTTTTACATTGTGTGTAAATTTCATGAAGGATGGAGCAAAAGATGTGACCCAAAATGACCTGGAAAAAAGTCTGGTACAAGGTTTTCCTCCACAACAGCAATATATATATATATATATATATATATATATATATATATATATATATATATATATATATATAGCGATTTATATATAGTCGATCAGCCAAGACATTCTTAACCCATGCAACTTGGCACCCATCACATTGATCCTCCACCCATCACATTACAAATGTTGCATTTGGAGTCTTGTCCAAGAACAAATTTCAAATTGACTCCAAACTGAATGTCTAAATCATTATATACTTAATTCAACTCATGCTGAGTTGTTAAGTCATATGTAGCACCTATTCATGTGGTTTCTGACACTGTTTGACGGGGCTCATCAAATAGATTGGATCTAGGGCCGAACTCTCACACAGCAAATGCTCTCCTACAAACTCTTCAATCTGCAATTAAACACAGTTTTATTCGCTGTTATATTAGAACATGGTGATTATTAAGGATGGCTGATGTAAGTTGGTGTCTTTAACACACTCTTCACCACTGTCTGACAAAAAAAAAGATTTTCTATATTAAATAGTGCAAGTATATACCGTACATAAATTTGTACATTCCAATAGGTGTTGAAGTTGGGTGTGCTCAGTTAACTGTTACATCTATCAGTACTCAATACTTGGTTATCAGTTAGGGCTGCAACAAACGACTAATTTAACAGTCAAATAATTTATCACTTACTGAAACGAATAATTGATTATTCAAATTATGAATAATACTACATTACCAACTCATGTGGCTATTAGCTTTTAAATTTAGCTTGAGGTTGTTTTATGCATTTGCTAACTAACAATGAAGACAATAAAGATGAATAGCATTCGAGAATTCACTGTGCAAAGTAGCAGCAATAAAATATAACAAAACTAAATCAGTTTTCCTTTAATCAAGCAAATAAAAAAATCTGAATTTTAAACAGTGCAGTCTGTCTACACTCTGTCGTGGCAAACTTGTTCTCTACGAACAGTTACATTTGAACGACTTTGTGTAAACATTTAATTTCAGCAGTAAGCCTTTGTCCAGCTGCCCTGTGTGTTCACAGAGAACTACCTCCTGAAACTGTTTGAGAGTGGTGGCCAGTGTTAGCGGAAAACACTGAATCTGAACGTACCGATGGCCTCAACGTTAAGACGATGATGCAGTGTTTAAAACTGTAAACGTTATCTGGAAAGTGAACAGGGTCACTGTGAATAACAGTTACTTGCTTCTCTGTTTCAACTCCATTAACGATCACAGAGAGCAGGATTAGGAAATAGAAATGTTCCAGCTCAGCTCAGAACATAAAGAAGGACGAAATTTAACACTAACATTAGCTAACTAGCTCACTAGCACTACTATTGCAGCGTCCCAAACCACACACTGCACTAATGAGTGCACTTCTAATAGTATATGCGCTGTTTTACACACTATTTAGTGAGCTAGTATGCGGTTTGGGACGCGGCGCATCTTACCGAGATTAATCTTCTTCATCCAGTGAGCAGAGTTTCCCTCAGATGCTCCAACATGGAGGATGTGCTCCCATAGCCAGCTAAGGTCGGCTTTACAAATAGCACAACTGACAACTGAGTTTGGCGTGAAATGCTCCCACACTTTTGAGGATGCTGTTCTTGAAGCAGCCATCGCGCTTTTGTTAACTCTCCCGTAAGAGCTACTGTCACGACATTCCTAATGAGTGCGAGAAAGACGTGTAATGACGTCGCCAACTAATCGACTATTAAATTAGTTGCCAACTAATTTGGTCGTCGATTTTAGTCAACTGAGTCAGATATCCTTTAGCTCATTGGCTCATCTAAAGAGGCAGCCTTTTTTGAATAATAAGGCATTACACTATTTCTGAATAATAAAAACGTTTTTATATGTATTATCCAGAATGTACATTCGTAGTTGGTGCTTAAACAGTGTTCAATGTTTTATTATTTATTTAATGTAATTTTAATAGAACTGAAAAACAGTTTTGAAAACTGGGTTGAGAACAAACAAAACCTGCTCATCGGCTGGATCTGATGATCCTGGCTATATGATAAACTGCTATCTATAAAAATGGAAGGTATGGACAAAATTCAGGCTTTACCGTTTACAGCTATCCTACTATTCTATTTCATGCTATTCTTTCCATTTTTATAGACAACACTGTCGATAACACTACAAAACTAAAGAAGCAAAGTTCAGACTCCAAATATGTTGACTGACTGACTACATTTGTTTGTTTTGTTTTTTTGCCAAACAACTTCTGAACTGTACATTTCTTAATGTCAGTAATATGTCAAATATAAGTTTTGTATTCGTTTGTATATAAATACTTTGTAAATATTGTAACTCTGCAAAACATGGTCAGGCCACTCAGGCTCAGTGGACTGAAAACAGAATTGGATGGAGAGATGCAGAAACAAAGAGAGAGAGTGATACAGTGCAGGAGAGAGTTTTCCTCAGAGTGACCGTAATCTTTCCCAATGGACATACTGACCCATTCAGCTCCTTTGAGGCCCACTCTCCCATTTGATATTCACTACTGCTCAAAAATCTGGAATCTCTGTTTTTAATACTAAATTTGGTTGCAGATAAATGTGTACAATGAATTATAAAATTCAGTTACTGTAACTTATTCTGAAGAAATTACGGTCCCAGTGTATCTAATAGCTGTGTAGTTATGCATGAATAACATATGCAACAACAATGTACTGATGATGACAGTCAATGTTACAGATGGATTACAGAAGTACAGCCTATGTAATTACACGTGTATCAGCTTCAGTTTTGCCTTATTTAATTACACAAGTGGATCCTCTACAGAGGAACTTTCCTGTAGTGCAGTGTTAAAGTTAAACTTTAAAGTAAGTGGACAGTTCCTGTGTAGTTATTATGTAGGTACTATGTAATAAAGGAGTGGTAATATAGAAATAGCTTTGGTGGAAATGCAACACATTTAATTAATGTCCTAAAAGTTTTAAGATAAGGGGACGTCTGCTGTTCTGTCTCATTACAGAGTGGTTTAAAGCTGAAACTGGTTACAGTATCACAGCACTAGCAACATAAATGCTAGCTAAATGTTAGGAAAGCTGGCAGATACAGTGTAAATAATGTCTTAATGTAAGTTATTACAAACTTCCTTTTACTGATGGAAACACTGCTGTTCCAGTCTGATTACAAATGTAATTACATTCATGTTATTACCCATGTGTAATTACATGAGGGAGAATAGGCTGTTACAACTATTAAGATACACTTGTGTAATTACACGAGGCAAAACTGAAGTTGACACACGTGTAATTACATAAAGTTTACTTCTGTAATCCATCTGTAACAGTGACTACATCATTAGTAGTTACATTGTTGTAGCATATCGCTGTTGTCGGAAGAAAACCTTGTATCTCCAAAATGGTAACTTTACAGGAGAAGGAAAAAACATACCTTACTTTTAATGTAAGTCAATGGAACCTGACTTTTTTCCAAGTCATTTTGGGTCGTTTCCTTTGGTCCATTCATCACGGAATTTACACACAATGTAAAGGGTAACAGGTATTTTTAAATTATGTCAAAAACGGAAAAGCGGCAAAAATGGAGATATGAGGTTTTCTTCTGACAACAGCGATATGTTGTTCACATGTAATTACACAGTTATTAGAGACCCTTAATATAAAGTGGGGCCGAATTTACTATGAATAGACAGTAACCTTGATTATCATTAAATAACTGTTTGCTCTTCCTAAAAACCTGTCAAACAAATACTGAACAAAGCCATCTAAAATATCTTCTGCTGTTATTACTGAATACAAGTAACATGACAAGTGATTCCAAACTTTTGAATGCCAGCGTAAGTGCTTGTATACCTGGTGTTTTCCCCCCAGCCTCATGGCTAGCTCCCTCTTGGTCTTGGCACAGCGTTCCCTCAGCCGACGCACATCAGTGGGCAGCTACAAGCATCACAGGGGCAGCAGCACAGGGGTCAAGTCAAAGGGCAACCAGAGACACCAGGGAGTAAGAGGGCGGGGGAAAGGAGAAGGGGAAATAAAGGGATGAGCGAGGGCAAAAACCAGCAACAGCATCATGGGGACGAACCCCAAAAGCACACAAGGGAGAACAAACAGGCATTAAGGCATGGCTTTAGCTTTAGGCTACATTCACATTACAAGGTTCAGTGGCACAGACCTGATTCTCTGCATAAATGTGATGGTGTAGTGATTTGTGCCCTTTATACACCGATCAGGTACAACATTCTGACCACCTCCTTGTTTCTACGCTCATTGTCCATTTTATCAGCTCCACTTACTATATAGGTGCACTTTGTAGTTCTACAGTTACAGACTGTAGTCCATCTGTTTCTCTGCATACTTTGTTAGCCCCCTTTTACCCTGTTCTTCAGTGGTCAGGACCCCCATGGACCCTCACAGAGCAGGTACTATTTGGGTGGTGGATCATTCTCAGCACTGCAGTAACACTGACGTGGTGGTGGTGTGTTAGTGTGTGTTGTGCTGGTACGAGTGGATCAGACACAGCAGTGTTGCTGGAGTTTTTAAACACTGCGTCCACTCACTGTCCACTCTATTAGACGCACCTGTGTTGTTGGGCCACCTTGTAGATGTAAAGTCAGAGACGATAGCTCATCTGCTGCTGCACAGTCTGTGTTGGTCATCCTCTAGTCCTTTGTCAGTGGTCACAGGACGCTGCCCACAGGACGCTGTTGGCTGGATATTTTTGGTTGGTGGACTATTCTCAGTCCAGCAGCGACACTGAGGTGTTTAAAAACTCCAGCAGCACTGCTGTGTCTGATCCACTCAGACCAGCGCAACACACACTAACACACCACCACCACGTCAGTGTTACTGCAGTGCTGAGAACCCAAATAGTACCTGCTCTGTGAGGGTCCATGGGGGTCCTGACCACTGAAGAGCAGGGTAAAAGGGGGCTAACAAAGTATCAGAGAAACAGATGGACTACAGTCTGTAACTGTAGAACTACAAAGTGCACCTATATAGTAAGTGGAGCTGATAAAATGGACAATGAGTGTAGAAACAAGGAGGTGGTCATAATGTTAGGCCTGATCGGTGTATAGTGGCCAGCGTTTCTGAGTTCTGTACAAATCATTGATCATTAAGGATTCGAGTCCAAATCAGGTGGATGGGGCGAGGTGTTCATAATACAGTTATGCCTGAAGTCAAACAGAGGGCACAAGGGAAGGGGCAGCTGTTCAGCCTGTGCATGTGGGTTTTTCCATGGTCTCATCAATGACTGATATGTGCGCGTAAATGTAAACCATAAGGCAATAAGGCTTGTAGGGTGAATGCAGTTTTAGTTGTAAGCATTAGGAGCTCAGAGCGGTCTGGAGCAGAAGAGGACTTACAGAGCTGCTGTTCCTCCTCTAATTCAAATCAGAACGAAGCACCGACTGATTTTTCAAACTGAAGCCACGCTCGGGCAAGTCCAGCTGCTCTGTGAAAGCCAATTACAAACAGGCGCTCCAGCATTTCCCTAAAACCAGCTCAGTGAAGCTCTGAAAGTTTAGTGTGCGATGGAGGAGCGTTATGGAGACAAGCAGCTTGTAGGAGTGGGTAGAAAATCAACATTTGACCCTGGATCAGTTCCTGGGTAGGCTTCTCCCTCAGAGAGGCGTCATGTAGTTTCAGAATGAATGTCATCCACCACTTACGCTGTCATAATATACATACCTAGATGCCGCGTTGGGTCCAGCTAGGCATGTCAACGGCACCGCCATTTTAGGGTGGTCAACATCGCTGCTGGACTGCATTCAGTACCATTACAGAGCAGCAGTTTAAGAAAGATACTGTCCAAAATTACACTATTTCAGGAATATTACTCTCAGAAAGTGGGATGGGATTATATAACGGAGGGAACGCAGCGATCCACACTCATGTTTGTGTGTTTATGTGTAACATTGGATATGGCTGTGTGGTTGGTGACACACAGAGAACCTGTTGATGTGATTGTTTTTCCTCTGGTTTTATATTATATTTCTTTTATTCAATAGTCTATTCAGGGGGTCTTAACTTTATGTAGTAGTTATTTATTTACAGTGATGGTTAAAGCTTTGTAGCGGTAAGTTATAGAATTCCTTAATCTGTGTAGATATTCATAATAGCTAATGTTAGGACCTTCTTACACGAAGATGAAGTTAGCTTTTTATTTGCCAGCTTCTTGTTCAAATTTTCCCGTTCCACCTTAAATGATGCAGCTTCAGGGGCCAGAAAGTGACTGCTGCACCACTTAAGGTGGAGCGGGAAAACTCAGACAAGAAGCTGCGAATAGGAAGCCAACTTCAGCTTCGTCCTTCTTACTGTGTTTTGGGGGTTTATATTATTTTTATGTGTATTAAGATTAGAAGTGATTCACACATTGATGGATTTGCTGATGTGTCTGATTGTGTTTCTCACGCTAAACTCGGTTTTTAACGTCAGGTCCAGACTGAATACTTTCCTGCTAGTCCGGACGGCTAATTATCATGATCAGTTATTAAAGTAATAAAAGCTACCGAGAGCAGATCCGTGCAGCCTGGATTAATCTGTGTCTGAGGATTATAACAAAACAGATTTGGTGAAATGGTTGAGCAATAAAGTTGTGACCGATTTAATCCTGAGACTCATCGTCTCTCAATACAAGTGAGTATGTTCACTTGACCTCTCCAACATGGCGGATGCTCAGACGTATTGCACAGATAGAGAACAACAGACAACGCAGCATCTAGGTATGGATATCTATGGCTTATGTTAACTTAGCATATTAAATACAGTGCTTAGGACTTGCCACTGTGATGTCAGCACCCATCAGGACCCAGAACTTTAATGTTTTAACAATAGTTTGGAAAAGAAAACAGACAAATCATTATTGAGGAAGACCAAGGATGAGATTTTGATTGACATGAAGCTGAATGTTGTAAAATGTACCTAAACGAATTTTTTTTTTGTTAATAAAACCTTTGTGAGGTACCAAATTGAAAAGATAAAGTGAAATTCAAACATTACTTGGACTGTCTTAAAAGAAGGTAAGTTACGACGTTCCCAAATTTTGATTTGACTTGTATTTTGAGGTTTTTATTTATCCAGGTCATCAAGCTGTATCTAGTAGAATCAGCAGTACTTCAAGGCAAATATACCGGTGCTGTAAACTTCAACATGTTTTGTGATTCTCTTAGTGTTTCATTAAATTTTCACCTGATAAGCCACTTAGGGCGGGTTGGACCAGCATGGATTTAACTAAACAGAGTTTAGAGCTAATCAGGATCTTGTTATTCTAGGTTTTATTTAAAACCGAGTTCTGTTGCACCACTTAATTATAAACCTCCATCAACAAGTCTGTGATTAAAGCCTTAATCTGTGATTAAAACTGTAACCTGCCACAGTTTTGATCGTCTGCCGTGATGGATTCGGTAGTATGATGAACAACATTACTCTCGACACTAATCTACGAAGTCTCACTGGTGACATCCTGTAGAAATGA